CCCCAAAACCCCAAAACCCCAAAACCCCAAAACCCCAGCCAAGAGCCCAAAGATTGCAATAAAACAATTTATAATAATAAATGGAGAGATCTTTGCAGACATCACAGACAAAGAGTGATGAAGTTATTGAGTAAGCGCTTGATTAAGAGTTTAATAAATTAACTTTAACCTAAATCTGGTTGTATAGTTAAACCAATGTGTTATTTTCAGAAACCTTAGGATTTTAGTAAATTCATCCCAGTTCTATTTTGGATTGAGCCCCGTAAAGCATCTATAAAATATATAGCCCTTATGTGAGTGTGATTTAGCAATAGTTGTCATTATTAAATACAGGTGAAATAAATATAAAAGTTTTACCAAATTCAGCTTTAGAACGGCTTCAACTTGATCTAACCACTATGATTAGAATTCCACCTGTGATGTTCTTCCAAAGCTTCGTTAAAACAAAGTGCAAAAATATTTTAAAACATTGCTTAAAATCTCTAATATTCGAACCTTATTGCAAGCTGACAAACTTATATGGAAAAGAAATATAGTTCAGAACCAATTTCTTAAATTTCTGAAACCTAAATTTTTTGAATATCGTTAGAAAGCGCCTAGTTGAAATATTGGAACTTAGTCATCCCATCTCTTGACGAAAATGGAAACTTCACCTTGGTATAGGTTTGAGAAGACAACCCACAAAGAGAATAAGAAGACCGACAAGGAGTTGAGGCAAGCTCTTGAGACCAATTATTATTCATATGAATTCGAAGATGATTACTTCAACGAAGATTCAGACAATAATGGGAATGAAGAAGGCTATGATATCTATTTTACATCCCAAAGGGATATGAACTTTGCTAAATATGCACCTTTTAAGGGGTTCAAGACCAATGATCTCTGCTTGAAAAATATCACCAGAGGGAATAAGGATGCCAAATCTTTTCTAAGCTCCTGATATCCAGAGAGAATTAATATGTTTAGGATTAGTAATCAATTTTGACTCAAACTCAATAACTCATTGCTTAATGAAATAGTCAGGGCGAGCAATACAATCTTGAAGGAGATTGCCATCTGTGAATTCAAAATTACTTCGACTCAATTTAAGAGATCTATTGCTTCTTTCGCTAATGTGCAGACTGTGAAATTTCAATGGTGAACTGTATCTGTTCCCAATACTTGAGATTTCTCTAAATTAATGGCAAATGCTAAAATGAAACTATTGGATCTGAGAGGTACAATGTTTGAAAATCTTAAAGAATCAGAGGAAACCCCTAAATTATTTGCCAAGTTAATCCAACGATTAGCCACTTCTCCAGATTTAAAGTTGAGCCTAAAAGAGATGGATATTTGTTTTTGTGACATTGAGAGAGAAGAAGCAAGCATAATTTTGAATCAAAATGGATTTGATAAAGTTAAAATTTAATAATCTTGCCAATCTATTCAATCAGTAATTTCTATGCTTTCATTCATACCTTTATTCTCATCTAAAACCTAAATTTACACAACCCCATGCTACTAAACATCTTTCACTAACAAACCCAATCACACACAATTCCAAATCCTCCCTTTCATATTCAACCCTACCACCCATCAACCCCTAACCAATCCTCCCCAATAACCCCCCAAATCTATCCCCCTCTTCACCCCTAAACCCCCTCTCTTCTCTCTACCCCCCTCTTCACCCCCAATCCCCCAACCCCATTCTCTGCCACCCCTTCTGCTAACACCCAATAATCTCACCTGGATTTCTCCCTTTAAAGCATAATGAAGGCTATAATTTGGGAAAAATTTAATGTTCGAGCAGGATTTTTGGGATTTAAGTTGGATTAGGGGTTGAGGTGGGTTTTAGTGGAAGTAATTTAGAGATTGAGGAGGGGAGGTGTGGAGTGATGTTTTGGAGGGGAGTTTTAGGGGGTTTTAGGGGATTGGGGTTGCTGTGGAGGGGAGATTGGGATGTATGGAAAGGGGAGATGAGGATTAGGGGTGGGAGAGAGGGTTGGGTGTTTTAAAGTGCAAATTTTGTAATGGCTTAAGTAAATTTATTATTTCTTAAATTCTCATGGATCTTAAGAGTGTTTACGGATCTTGGCTTATTATTATAAACAAGTTTGTTGCATTCCATACCATTAATCCAAAAAATTATATCACTCCCAATTTTCTCAAATCCCTTTATTTATCTCTCTTCTAAAAATTTCACTATCTCTTCATTCTGATATTTTTTTCAAATTTCTCTGAAATCCCCAAAAACCCGTTGCAAGGCAGTACTTGTTGCTTGTCTTTAGCCCAGGTAAGATAGAGCGTATTGCAGGAGTCTTGGAGCCAGAAAGAGAATTTAGCTAAGACATGTTGAAGAAGTTAAGCCATCATTAATAATCCTCAACCCCAGCTTTAAACCATAAGATATAGCTCATCCATTACCTAAATATCTGAACACTTGCAAATTTTTTCCTCAAATCAACCCAAAAATAAATCCTACCCAATCCAACCCAAGAATCTTAACCCTTAAATCCCCCAACACTCGCTAAACATTCATGCCCACTACCCCCTAATCTCACAACAGAAGCTACCATTTTCCCCTCCCACACACAAAAATCCCCACAGCCCCTCAAACCAGCAAGATTTCTTCCTAAATGCACTAACCATTCTCTTTGTTAATACTTTTGGCCCATTCTTGGATAAGTGAGCAAGGGAAGAAGACAAGGTGGTTGATTGGCAGAGGGCTTATGGGGATATTATTTAATGAAGTATTCAATTCATAGATATAGACTGGGGTTTTGGGGTTTTGGGGTTTTGGGG